TCTGTTTATTTCAAACAAAAACATAAAATAATAATAAAAATAATTCATTTAAAAATGTTAATAATTAGGAAGTGATTGAATTAGCTCCAACTCCAAAAGACCAATATCTTAGTAGGCTGGGGAGGACTTTTCTTGAATATAAATAATAATGTTCTCTTGACAAAAACAATTCACATCCTTAATGAAGGCATCGGCTGCATTTATATTGTGTTAAGCACAAAACCGCATATTCCAGATTACAGTGTCTGGTTAAATATCACTAGTGCCTCACACAAATGTATGACTGCACATTATGTGTCAGATATAAAATATGTTAAATAACTTATTAAAATACTTAGTAATTACCGAGCGGTTAAGGTGTTTTTCACTTTAAAATAATGGTCCAGATCACTAGTAGTTCCTGCAGGCTGACAAGGTAACGCTTGAGTAATTAGTGAGAGGCTAATGTATTTTTCACTTTAAAGATCTGACATACTGTACAGTCATACATTTGTGTGAAGCACTAGTGATATTTTACCAGTAGGTCTTTTGGAGTGGGATACATGGATACTGAACTGACACAAAGCAGAGATCATAATTGTGAACTAATTCAATCATGAGCTTGTCAGCATCACTTCTTAATTATTAACATTTTTAAGTGAATTTTCATTTTTATTATTATTCTATGTTTAAGTTTGAACATCCATCCTTTGGTAAGAGTAGTAGTCACAATTTTAAAATGTAGCCGACTTATTTGGGGGATATCATATTCATAAATTAGTTTCCACAAAGAACCCAATTGTTCACTTTTAAGACGTTACTGTTGTGATTAGTAATTAATTGGTTATTCTTTATTAATTGGTCATAGTTCACAAGTAGTTCTCAATGAGGATATTTTTACTTAATAATGATCAAATATCTAATAAGGAACTACCTTTGTCCTAAATTTGCTACTACTTACTGCTTAGTTAATCTTGCTTCTCTATTAGTTAATAGTATTAAGTTAAGTGTTAATGTAGTACTACCTATTACTTCCTGCATAGTTACTTGTTAACAATGGACCATTATTCTAAAGTGTTACCCTCTTTTCTGCCATCTTATTACTCCTAACTAGGTTAGGAGACCTCTCCAGCTCTCTTAAATAATTTAGGAGCTGAGACCTCTTTTAACACTTAGGAACCTTTATGAATCACTCTTATTCTTAAGTCTAGGAATAAGAGTAAAATTACGTCATTCTTAGAATTCTGACACACTTAAGACTAAACTTTTACTTTGAGCGGCTTTATACATACGGCCCCTGGTCATTATCCACGTTCATTTATAAAACTAGCAGCGTGAACATCTTGCCTCTTTTTGTGTTTGACACAGAAAGTCATAATGTTTGGGAACGACATTAGAGGTGACTTGATACACAATATCTTTAACAAGTGAACGTGCCCAAAGTAGGTATAACTCAACGTGCCTGAAGCTTCAGATTTCAGTTGTTGTGTGCTATAGCGCCATCTAGTGGCCGTTACACGACAACATTGTGTATATTACGGGCGTAATCTTATTATAAGCGCGTCTAAAATAGAAAGTGTGTTCGCTAACCTGGACAGGATGCACACGTGTGGTGCGTATTGCATATTCATAGATAAAAATTATTAATATATACATAATTCATAGATTTTCTGGGGAAAAAAAACACATCGCTGCTGCTCTACATTTCATAACAAACCGATTAGCATGCTTAAACTATCAAGATGGCATTGACGACATAATTGTAGTACACATCTATGCTTTCTGCACTTTTATTTGACATAAATTTCAAAACTAGTCCATTAGAGTCAAATATAATAGCATGATAATGTAAGTTTTATAGATCACTTACCAGTAATCTTTTCCCGAAATCGATGACCGGGCAAGAGGCCATCCACTTAAGATCCGCGGCACATACACTTGAATACAACAATGGAATATTGTTAATCTCAATTAGAAATACGTTTTTTCATTTAAACAGTAAATTCGTCGTATGCAATCAAAACAAGTGACAGTGAGGAATGGCCAATGAGCTTTAGGTTGATCTCATAATCAGCCAATGAGGTTCGAGTTCGCGGAGGATTGACAGCAGGGATCGATGCCGTGCGACAGAGGACTCAGCCTGCCGTTTGGTGTAACACATCAGAATGCATTATGGATTATCTTGGACATATTCATCTTTACCACATGAATTAACTCATTTTGACCGTTTGTAATTAAAAACAACTAAGTGAAACATTTTATTCGATGCAACTGCTATCCTTCATATAGCAGTATATCAATAAGACAAAAATGACTGTCACAGTGGTCTTTACATTTGTGCTCAGTACGGATACGTTTTCACCGGCCGTCGAAACCACTGATGATTAATTTGACCGCCTGTTTTTATCTTTACTTGCACAAGCAGACTCCCGAGTCTGTACTGTACATATATGTTTTCTTAATAATATGGTCCTTGACACATGGTAGGCTACACAAAGAACGATTATTAGCGGGGAAAAAACAAAAAACATATTCTTAAATTACACAGATAGTATTCAAATTTACGTCAGTCCTCGAGATACTAACATTAGTCTTCCAGTTAAATATTCGATTACACAGCAGTCCACAGCAATATGACTGAGATTCAAGGCTTTAATATATTGGTCAGCTATAAACTTCCTGTATACTCCAATTTTAAGTACAGATCAAAGAACAAGCAGTTATTATAAGGCATGTATTATTGGTTTAACAGGATTTGGACCATGCTAACTATCAACACGGCACGCTGACTGAAGCGTGGTCTTTTTTTCATTATTTATTTTGATTAAAGGCATTATTATTGTCCTTGTGGAATGGTTATAATAGCATAAACATTAAGTAAAAAAAAAAATTGAAATCAAATTTCTTTAAATTAACTCTCAACACAGTAGTAACTGCACTTAAACATAACTCAGTGTTGTGATGTGGCTTAGACAGTCAAGTTTCTCCTCATCTTTCAACAAAGGTGTCTGTCAATGGTATAATTAAAAAAAACAGCATAAATGATTACTTGTGTTAAAAGACACCAAAACAACAACATATTTTACCACATTAGTCAAAGCAATGGTATTTATGATAAAATATCAGCCAGTGTTTCTTAAAGTTTTACAGAAAGCATATGTACATTTCAACCACCAGCAGTGCTCTGATTTGTAATACCAACAAACATGCAGATTTGTACAGAAAACCTATTTGGTACGCTTCAGACAAGCACAGGGAATAAATAATAGGCACAGCAGATATTCAGGCCTGAAGACTTCAAAATGGAAAGCGAGAGGACAGTGTTCACGAGCTTGAGAATACAGTAATTTGAGCCAGTACCAAATATATATTTGTATATAACTAGCTGAGAATTGTGCAATCTATATTAGTCATTGGCTTTTGGTTGATAAAGCTGGACTGGCTGTAGTATCTCTGGTACAAAGCAGTAGCAGAACCCAAAACATCTTCTGAGGTATATTTAGATTCTCAAGTTAGTAATATTAGCTTTTTAACTTTGATATGAGACCGGGAGTGATCAAAATGTCAGTCAGCACATTTAAGGCATGATTACAGATATGAGTATCACACAAAGATAACATGCCAGTATCTCAGGTTAAAATCAACACCACCAATGAAAGTCCTTAATTGCATTTTAGCATAGAGAAAGGCTTATAGCTTGGTTTCCTGGCTCAGGATCAGACGAGATAAATACAAAAGTTCTAGAATGGTCCAATATTCTGGAACTGTGCTTTGTGAGTGCTGTCAATAAGCAAATCAGTAATGCCTAAACACACAGTAGCATTTCTCAAGTAAAATCAGTCTTAATTGCACTTCAGACATTTCCCCTCAGTCTTTTTTCAGCTCTGATGGTTGGTATGGGCTAACAGGGCTGGGAGAGACGGACAGCTCTTGGTCCACCGGAAGCGGCACAGGAGCCACACTATCGTTGTTCTCCAGTGCTCCGTAAGAAAAAGAGCCATTATAATCGGGCTGCACAGCCCAGCCCTTGTTGTGAATGGTTGGAATGCCTGTGTTGACAGAAAACAGAAAAAGTGTTTAATCTAATAGGATGATTATTTGTTTGGCTTGATGACAGAAATCACAAGTCATACCTTTTGCCATGTCCATGGTGACATATGGCTCAAAGGCTTTGACCTTCCTCTTGCTTTTAGTGATCAGGAACACTCCAAAAAAGCATATAGCACATCTGCAGGAACATTATAAAGACACATGTTAACAAATCTTAGATTCCAAGGGTCTCACTGCTAGTCTGTTAGTCACTGCTACCGCTAAGAAAACAAACTTGTGTGGAATTTCATGGCTAAATAATTCTCTTCCTCACACGGATGTGTTACAGAATATCACATAGTACTACATATTAGTCACTTAGTAGTAGTATAGTGAGCATTTTCCACCTTGATGAACTGAATGTAAAATTTAGTCTGTCAATGGATATAAACTTTTTTTTAGAAATAATATGAAATAAGCCTTTTCACAAATTATTAAAATTAAGTTTTTTTTTTATTCTGAAAGGATTTTTTAATCTTTCAGCTTTCCCATCACAGGAATAAATAACATTTTAAAATATATTAAAGGGATCATATGATGCGATTTCAAGTTTTCCTTTCTCTTTGGAGTGTTACAAGCTCTTCATGAATAGGTAAGATCCCTAAAGGTGCAAAGACTAAAGTCTCAAACCCAAAGATATATTCTTTATAAAAGTTAAGACTGGTCCACGCTCTCTAAAACACCTTGTTTAAACACGCCCCCACATGTCTACGTCATGATGTGGGAAGATTTGCATAACGCCGCCCAAATGTTTACGCAAAGAAAGAAGACGTAACTTTATTGTTGCTGCCACCATGTTGTGAAGATGTGTGTTTTGTTGCGAAAGCGAAAATACTTTGTTTGGCCTTCCAAAAGAGAACACTACTAGAAATCAGTGGTTAAGTTGTATTTACAACACTGTTCCAGAACAGTTCAACCCAAATATTCAGATGTGTGCAGGACATTTTATGGAGGACCGTTTCCTGATCCTGGGAGAGTAGACTACAATGCCGGCTGTTCTGACTCACAGACTGTAAGTACGTTTTTTTTATATTTAAAGAATTTGCCACTGATGATTCAAACGCGAGTTTTGAGCAGGTTAGAGTAGCGTTTGTAGTTTGTCATTTTTGAACATGGTTTTATGTTTACGCAGCACGATGCAACACAATGCGTAAAAAGACAGTATAAGTCATTATAATCCATAATTATGTCCCCACTGGATGCAACAAATGCCTCGTTGGTAATGGCTATTTGTCTCATCGCACCGGGACACGGCATCACAGTATGGTGAGGGGCATAACATTTCCGTCATACGCTTGAGGTATTTGGCCAATCACAACGCACTGGATAGCTGGACAATCACAGCACACCTCACTTTTCAGACCGATGAGCTTTGTAAAAATCGACGCGTTTCAGAAAGGCATAGAGGACAAACAATAATGTACAGTATGTGGAAAATAATGTGTTTTTTTTTTTACCTTAAACCTTTCATTACACCAAATACACAAAATAATGTTCTTTTTAGCAACATCACATGACCCTTTTAAAATATTTTATGATATTATGGTTTTACTGTATCTTTGATCAAATTATGAACATGGTGAACATGGACTTCTTTCAACAACACCATTTTTTTTTTTACCTCACCTCCCTCAAACTGTTGAATGGTAGTATAAGTAACTAGAATGCATCATAAAACCTACCCCAAAAGAAACATGCATATGTGCAGAACGTCTTCGTGGTTAAATTCCTGATAAAATATGGCCCCTGTTTTAAAAGAAACAGAATGAGAATGAGACTGCTAACACAAAATAAAGACAATCCTGTCGTCTTACTTAAGACAGAGATAGAGAAAGACATTTCTGAGTTCTACCTGCCACAATTGCAAATGTTGTGCAGAAAATGTAATTCACACAGGCGATGAGAGAGGAATCATACAGGTGAGATGCCTGTGCCAGAAATCTAATAAAAAAAAGTAAAGTCAGATTAAAACAGTATTAATACAGTCAGATTAATACAGTATTTCACTCCAAGCTCACTGTCCTACAACAGAATAGCAACACAACAAACAACAGAACTTACGATGCTTGAAAGACGATAGTTGCCACCATGCAGACGAACATGACATAGAAAATGGGATAGGACAGCTGTAAAGGACCCAAGATGCTAAGCACAATCATCCCTGAAACTGCCTTCACTGTGATTACAGTCACTGAACCTAAAGGGCAAAGGTCAAGGGGACGGTCAACTCCATTATTTTGGTCTCTGGTACATTTATAAGGGCAAAATAGACAATGACTTGTTTATCTGTGCATTACTTCCTTGTCAAAAGAACTACTTTGCAAAACAAGTACTGCTTGTGGAGCACTTTCAGAGTAATGTTTCATACACACAATGGGCTTTACAAACAACCAACGTTGTGTTATTGTCCTACCAAGTAGTGCCACCAGCAGCAGAATCAGGACGAGGTAGTTGGCATTCCGCTGTTTATAGAAATACAGCACCAGACAGAATGTGATGATCCCTAGAAGCTGGAAAAAACAATCCAAATTAACTGTTCAAATAAAATGCCTTCAGCAAGTTATCAGTCATCAAACCAAATTCCATTTCTACCTATCAAAAATAATGTGCATTTTAAATCAAAACGATATCCTTTGTAAAATAATTATGGTTTGATATTTGCCATTTGTAATCACACAACAACTTTCTAAAACATGAGGGTGTGTATTACCAAGTATAAGAGGAAGGGCCAACCGATAACATGTTTTACAATATTCTCTGCATTCAGCTTCTCGTGAGAGTTCGGTCCAAACGTCACAAAGAGGTAAGTACCGCCTGCCGTCAAGGCACAGCCCAGGAAAGTCAAGATGTAGCGCTCTACAAAGACAAGCATAGGGATATTATAGTGCTCTGCATTTAATTTATTGTATTACTAATAC